GCTGCTTGTGACTCTCAGCAGGAGCTCAGGCTGGTCCCTTTCTCCTCCAGGTGTCTCTTGATGCACACAGAAATCACCGTGTCCCCCAGTGAGCCGCAGACCCTGAGTGGCTCCGTTTGCCGTGCGATGCATTTCTATGGCATTGGGGTCTTCCTCATTTCTTTTCTGATCAGCTTCATAGCCATTCTGGTAAGAAACCTCATCCTGGCACACTAGCTGTTGGTCAGTGTGAGGAGGTTTGCCTGTTTTCAACTCTTGCTTGGGTCGTACCGGCAGGCATGTAATGTCAGGGGACAAATGGTGTGAAGCTGCTTCCCTTTTTGAAGGGGTGGTAGGGAAGAGACACTATTATTGTGCCACCATATCAGTCCTTCTGGAGTCCTGAGTTCTGTCAACTCATCCCAAAAAAACAGGTAGAGAAGGCTCAAAGTATGGGAGCAGAGATCACCAATGGCTTGGGTCAACAAGAACCCAAATCAATTCAGAGTCTGCTGTTCAGACAAGATCACATATAAAGAACTGTTCTCCCCCAGGGAGAACAATTTATCCTTGAAAATATTGGATAATTTGAAAGAGGTTTTAGCTAAAAAAACATGGGATACTCTGTCCTAGATGAACAAGGCAGGTCAGAGCACGTGCAGAAAAGTACAAACCACAACTTATACTTGTTCTTTTTTAGGTTATACTGAGTCAAGCCCGAGGTTTATATAAAAGGTTTGTAAACTCCACGGGATTCCTGGGGGACCAGCAGTGGGCCATGATTAAGATGGTGGAGCAACGAGTGTTTTTTTACCCCGTCACATTCTTCTGCTGCTGGGCCCCAGGTTAGCAGAGAGCTGAGTGATTTTCACAACATTCTCCTAAGACATAGTGCCTGGCAATGACATTCCAAAGAGGTGAGGTTAAAGCAACACCTTCTTGCTCATCCCTTTTCACAGCTGTCCTCCTTGGAATACTGAAGCTGACAACAGCAACAAACAGCAAAATCTACATGGCTCTTCTAATCCTGCAGGTAAACATCTCCCTCTGCAACCTTCTTTTTTGCCTTCTCTACTTGAACAGAAAAATGAGTGTTTGCTTGTATCTGATCCCTGCTGGACAAAGTATGTTTGTAGCCACAGTGATCAGAAGCCCAGCTGATTTCTGCTTTTGATTGGCAAAGATCTTTTGTTAGTTGTTACATGTTTTTCCCGGGCTTCAGAAAGTCTCAGTAACCAAAACCGCAGCACCAAGGGAATGTAGAAAATAGGCCTAGGAGGGACCCCCAGAAATCTGGGGTTTCTTCCCTTTCTGTGGAAGTGTCCAAAGGCAATTTTTCCATGACACTTGTCCTGCTTGATGTGCCTGAGGCAGCCTGTAGCAAAGGTCATTCAAATAACTGTGAGATTCCTGTATCACATGGGGATGCAGATAGATAGAGTCAGGCTGGAAGTGGGAGGCTTGGAATAATGTGCTGGGTTTGACAGCCTGGTAGGGAGCTGTGGAGTGCTGTGCAGCACTGGCTGACAGGACAGCCCCTTCTGCCCTGTGCTCTCTCCCAGGCTCTGACAGCAGCTTCCCAGGGGCTCCTCAACTGCATTGTCTATGGCTGGACACAGCACGTCTTCCTCTCCCTCAAACGCAACGCCTGCCGGGACGTTGACACCCAGACTCCTCTCCTGCGTTCCCAGAAGAAGTTCTACGCCAGCACGCTCCCCGCCAGCCCACCAGATGCAGATGGGTCCACATCCACCCTGCTCTGAGGAATCCCTGCCCTGGAGGAGAACTGGGAGCATCCTGACAAGACCTTGTCATGCTTTAGCAGTGTCAGCCAGACCTGGCTGTCCCCTGGGAACTTTCCTGGCAGCAGCAGCGTGAGCTGTAGTGCTGGAGGAGCCTGAGCAGAGCTGTTGGAGACAGACACCTCAGTGAAGAGAGTTATTTATTTTACAGGTTTATGTGGACTGTAAATGGATTCTTTAAACGTGGTAAATCTTTAGTGCAGACCTTCCCCTCATGGAAATATCTCTAGAAATGCAGCCAATTATATGTAGGAGCTCAGAGATCTGGTACAGCTCCTTTGAGGGTAGGTGGTCAAAGGTTGTTTTACTTCTGTAAGTATTTGCCATTACAAATTAACAGTAAAGCAAAGGTGAATATTTTTCAATCTCTGACTTTTAATTCGCTATAAAAATAAGAACATGTCCTGTACTAACAGCCAACTGCAAAGAATGAAAAATTGAAAAGTAGCATAAAAAAAATGAGCATTCACTTCTGTGCCTTGACTTTTTGCACATTTCCCTTCTGTCCTTCATGCCAACTCCTGCTCAGCTACAATACTCAGAAAAATAAGCTCCTTTGATCCGGTGGAGCATCTCTCGTGACCCAGGTGAGCAGAACTTTGCATGAATTTGTCTGTGCTCTTATAGATGCTCAAGTTAATTATTTAGGTCCTACCATTCTGTAGGGAATAAAACAGATTTTTAGCTGCATTGAAAACAACTCTCTAGCTTTTATGCTTTTTT